ATGATTGGTAAAATTGTTTATTTGGCCTCCGTTTCTCAATCGGTAAATCACAGATTTGATTATAAAATGACATGAACAAAAGATACAACGGATCATCAGAAAGATCACTGACAGATGTGGGGTAGGAATCGTCAGAAAACCCTCAATCTTCGAGGCAACCATCAGGAATTTCAGTTTGTGAGCCCATGTAGTAGTAGTAGTAGTAGTAGTAGTAGTAGTAGTAGTAGTAGTATAGTGGTTGTGGTAGTTATATGTAAAAGGGAAATGGTGATGGAAATTACATCAATGAATGACTGAATTAATGACAACACCAGGTGTTCGCGAAAAGACTAAACTGTGTCTTGCTCGACCGGAAACATCCGCCACTAACACGATATTCATTTGAAAAATAAGTGCCAGTGAGTGAAATACAAGATAACTAACTTGACAATGCAATGACAATACCGACTACAACGTGCCCTCTGAATATTGGAATCCTGCCAGATAGTCAGCCATTATGCTGCTGCTCGTCAAACGTCGTTGTACAACATGTGGATCTAACATTTGGCCGCAATCACAATCCCAAATGGCCATGACATTTCTTTGAACAATGACAGGCCTTTTTTCATGTCTGTCTTGTAATGATGTTTCAAATGGGAGAGCTGTGTGAGCACAATGCTAATATTAGGAAAACCCACCAGTACCAGCTGGTCTCTTTTGTGGGAATTCCGCAAGGTGTATTTCTTTGATTTCTTTCTGTATGCAGCACCAATAGTTATTTCATTGAAGCAAGATTATTAGATGGCATGAATGTGGAATTCAAATCGACTGTAATAAAATTCTTCTTCTCACTACCAATTTGCTCACACAAACAGAAATTATGTTATTTTGTTGACGTGAGTGCCTTAAAGTCGGGCCAGACCGAGAAGAGACGGGATTATGGCAGCTTTCTCCATGGTCGGCGACCATGCCCCCATATGATTGATATGTACACATATGACTTTACGAAGCAATCACAAGTACCATCTATGTGCAGATAAGAAAATTAGTCAAAGGAAATTGCTATCGAGAGTCAACAATTAAGGAGGTTTCCCCGCATGAATATATATAAAAGAGCAACATATACTCCCCCACCGGTGGCACCCGTCAGAAGAACTTGTCAGGGTTCAGTATAAAAGATACGTGACCGTCCTGAACCGCTTTTGAACTCTCTAGAACTAACAATTTATGCGTTCATCATAGTCGTATCTGAGGACATGTACGAATATTAAATGACATTATGTGCAACATTCCAGGCACGCTAGTTTTAAGATAGTCGTTGGTTATCAATCGGATTAAAAAGCCAGTCAAATTCCATATCAAACAATGGTATAAATCGCGGATTTTCAGGATTCTTACCAAGGTTTTGAAATCATTATATGAAATACTTATTGTAATATTCTCTAAATAGTATTTACAGAGACACAGTTATCGGGTAAACTGTTTCAAGACGTATCTTTCGGTAATATATATTTCTGGATGACTGACAAACGTCTCTTGTTGTATGGGGAACATGGGTACAATTTTGTCTGCCTATTTGTGAAATTATATCATATAGAGATCATTAGCCGACACTGCATTCGTACCGTAAATATCAAAAATCCCTGCACCTTACTGGGTACGATATCTCTTTGCCTGAATACGAAAAAGTCCTGCATTCATTTCCCTGGATATGCTATTTTTCCCGTTGGATATATTTTGTTCTACCGGAATACATGATCATTCTGTCTGGATACTACATATGTCTGCATGTAGAGTACTCTCCTCGACTCTGGCAGAACATCTAGTTATAAATCATAGTGTTTTTTTCTGACCGAGTGAATTACAATTTAGCGTCGCATCGGCCACATTGCGAGGACAAGATGTCTTAGCAGCTGCGAGCACATCATATAATGCTTCAAAGTTATATTTAAATGCAAATGTGTCAGTCATATTTATTACGTGTGTATTTGAACACGTATAAAAAGATTGAAAGTACACTGTGCCACTTCCTGATTGAACATCGAAAAAAGATGCCAGCGATGAAAGGATGGAGTATTTATGCGCTGCTTGTGTTTCAGCTGCTGACTGCTCTCCAGTCACTTAACGACATGGCAAAAAGCACGCCGCTCTTTTACTCATAGCAGTGAAACACAGAAACACGCAAAAACATTTAAACCAATTAGGATTTGACTGGTATATTTCGGTTCATTGACGTCTGAATTGAAAATCAAAGTACAAACTGTACTCCGCAGAGCAAATGAACCGATTATGAAAACAGCCCATCTCAATAAAATATATTGAGCAATCTTGTTCAAACATTAGAAATAATTAGAAAAGCGACTTCTAATTAAGTTGCTGGAGGAATATGTTAACAGTGAGTTCTAATCCTGAAAGCAACTGTAAAATCCAAACTATCTGAGATTTCTTATTCATGTGCAAACAATCGAGAACGCGTAAACAACTTAGATGACAAGTTGACCTTGCTGTTCACAACACTTACGGTCAGCGACCGATGGTCCCTAAGGATTTTCCCCCATTACTGAATGCTAGTACAATCTGCTGTGGATCCTCGGGGGGGGTCCAGTCGTCTGGAGCGCCGTACCTGGGTTTGCTGACCTTTTCAATATGTAGCCACTTGTTATGGCGTTTCGGACGCTTAAGAAACACTTACAACTGTAAAACATCTCATTCACTTATAAAGGTTCTTTTTTCTTAAAAACAAGCCATCATATGTGTATTTACAATGTCTGTGTGATGCTACACCCCCGTTATGGCGCGAGTAATAGCGATAAACATGGCCGTCCGAAAACGTATGACGTCCAAAAAGCCTATGATCCGACTATATGTGATACTCGTGATAGAAAAAGTTTCGTAAAAGCACATGTGATACTTGTAATATGTGCAATATAAATGGGATACATAATTATTCTCTACGATAAACATGTGATACTTAGTTTCCTAAAAAACACATGTGATTCTTGTTCTCTTGTACCAGCATTGTTCACAGGCTGCCAATATCCGAGGCTCAGCTGCTTTCGAATATTGGTTTGTCAGCGCCTTGCCCGTGCTGCTACAGCAGAGTGTAAAATGTCCACGGCCTGAATTATATTATAACGTGGAACTTTCCTCCGAATTCAGATGGCACGACCAGATATCAGTGAAATACTGTTCACACACGCCCCTCGCTGTAGTCAAGAGACATAGAAGCGAAGGTTAAATTAACAAAGTTTCTTTAAGGAATGGTCTTGATTGTATCTGAAGCAGAGCAGGCCTCTGTTCCACAAAGCGATCTTACGTTGTGTTACGTTGATCGTAAGTCTATGATAAAGTATGATAGTTACGAAAAACTTAGCACCAAGATATCTTTGTGGAACAGGTTCCAGCGAAAAAACATCACATCGATTTGAAAGATTGAAATTTCATCAAAACCACATTAACATCAACATGATGTATCACCCTAAAGATGATGGTCAGTCTACTTAAATGGGATCAAAGGTGAACAATAAAAATCCCCAAAAGAATAGTAACCTTTCCCATATGCAAGAGAAGGACAGGCTGGCCTCAGTCAACGAAGCAACAACAGCCTCATGGCCTCGGTTAGTTGAACAGCGTACGCACGATGATGGATACTTCCCCGTGCGTGTATTCACTTGAAAGTAATTGTTGCCATCGTTCACCATTAAGTGTCTATGTCACAGCGTATTAATTCGTGACAACTATAGGTTATCCACTGATTTGCAATTAACACAATCAGATCAGTCTGTATTGCAATGTCATATCCTGTGATACTCACTCTGAAGTCGAAACATACCGCCTATTGATGAACTCTAATCCCATCCGAACGAGTATCTTCGACTTATTGAACACTTGTAATTTAATCTTGTTCTGCAATGTAGCAATGTGGAACTTTCTGAAGTGGTCATGTCAGTGTGATGGTATTTTAACTTTAAACGACGATGAAGTCTTTAGCATTACATTTTTGTCCTTGTATATTTAGTATGTCAAACATTGTCCTAACGGAGAGAACATTACATGTTTTGACCTTATAGTATGTTAAACCGTGTCCTAACGGAGAGAACTTTACATTTTTGTCCTTATAGGATGTCAACATTGTCCTCACCGAGAGAACTTTACATTTTTGTCCTTGTATATTAAGCATGTCAAACATTGTCCTCACCGAGAGAACATTACATGTTTTGACCTTATAGTGTGTTAAACCGAGTCCTAACAGAGAGAACTTTACATTTTTGTCCTTGTATATTAAGCATGTCAAACATTGTCCTCACCGAGAGAACATTACATTTTTGTCCTTGTATATTTAGTATGTCAAATATTGTCCTCACGGAGAGAACATTACATTTTTGTCCTTATAGGATGTCAAACATTGTACTAACGGAGAGAACATTACATTTTTGTCCTTGGAAATATAGTATGTTAAACATTGTCCTAACGGAGGGAAAATTACATTTTTGTCCTTGCATATATAGTATGTCAAACATTGTCTTAACAAATGGGAACATTACATTTTTGTCCTAACGAAGAGAACTTATAGTATGTTAAACAGTATCCTCACCGAAAGAACTTTACATTTTTGTCCTTATAGGATGTCAAACATTGTCCTCACCGAGAGAACATCACATGTTTGTCCTTGTATATTTAGTATGTCAAACATTGTTCTAACGGAGAGAACATTACATTTTTGTCCTTGTATATATAGTATGTTAAACATTGTCATAACGAAGAGAACTTATAGTATGTTAAACATTTTCCTCACCGAGAGCACATTACGGTTTTGTCCTTTTAGTATGTTAAAAATTGTCCTCACCGAGAGCACATCACAGTTTTACCCTTTTGGTATGTTAAACATTGTCCTAATGGTGATAATAAGAATTGTATAGGATTCCAGACTTCACATGATAACCTTTTTGTGCTGTTCGATTTCAATGAAAATTGTTCAATGAGTGGAAGCGTACTTTAAGGTAGTTTGTATTTCTGTGCAGGTATCATCGTCGACTCCAGACACAAACGGGGAGGGATCCGATGTTCGAACACGGGGAGAATAGGCAAGGCCAAAATACGGACCTTAAAGATGACGTTAGTTATAGGTATGTGCGTTTCTTTGGTTTAAAATAGACGTCCTGCAAATCCATAGACAAACCCACGCGCACACGCCACACACACGCTCGCACGCGCACGCTCACATACATACATACATACATACATACATACATACATACATACATACATACATACATACATACATACATACATACATACATACATACATACATACGTACGTACGTACGTGCGTGCGTGCGTGCGTACGTACATACACAAATGCACAAATACAAATACACACGCGCGCACACATACATACATACATAGGGTTTTTATTCTTTCATCTAAGGGTTTATAGCATCCTGATAACAGTAAGGTCTGTGTTGACGCTTTTTGGACACCTGTGTTCAGGATTTATTGAGCTCTGAATAGGACATTCTAAGATGCAACCACACAATTCAATATATACATGTGAGCATTTTGTTCTTATATGTTATCAGATATATCTGAGATAATACGTGGTGTGAAACAGATCTTCAGTTTTGAACAGTGTACATAATATTTATTCTACCGACAAAACACAAGGGAACTGATAATAATAGTGGAGATGTAATGACGATAAATGTCTGTGGAATATATTTCGGGCTTGTAGATCAATATCTGTTGTGTCCACCATGTTGGCGATACATGCATGACACCTTAATGGCATATTGTTAATTATCTTGCGTGTGGTTGCCCTTGGTATTGCCCGCCATTCCGCTTGATAAGCTAACCCAAACTGGGCAACGATGAATTAACAAATTAATTGTTCCCGAAAATTCTTGAAAAACCTAAATATGATTCAGAATTTTTGAAAACAAATAAGTAGCCTTTCACAAAAATGACATAATGGAAAGACAAAGAAATTTTAAAAGAAATTCCAGGCTCATGGCTTTATATATAAAAATATATCTTGTTTTGTAGCCGTAGCTGAAACAATATGTAATCTCGATATATAAAAAAACAGACCATAGTCGAGAAATCACACTTTTTGATTTGCTAACATTCAGGCACTTTAAGATATTGACTTCCCGCCCCACTCCAATCGTACCCACAATTTTTCATTTGTCTGTTCATGGAGATACTGCCTAGGAGGCATTTTAGGTGTGTGCTTAGTTTATTTGCATAAGTGATTGTGAGTTCCTCTTTGGCGCACACACTTTGCCTTCTGGTTGCACATGCATCGTGTGCTGTTCATGCAAGATGCGAAATTTCATTGTGATAAAATGTTGCTTTCAGATGCAACGCCATGTTATTGTAAATGTACACCTCAACGATAACTACTTTCATAGCATTAGTTCCCTCATTGTTTTTTGTCGGTAGTAATAATATATATAGTAAATCGTTATTTAAAAAATATTCATATTTCATTTCAGTGAGCGTATTTATTCTTTGTTGGACACCATATTTCGTCATGGCCGCCTACTGGTGGTTTGATCGGTAAGTTTTTCGAGAAGATGTTACTTTGATTTACTTCAAGTGTCACTGACTGACTCAAGGAGAGCTTCAGAACAACGAGTTTATCGATATATATATTATTTGTTTAAACACACTTGCAATCGACCCGTATCAGTGAGTGAGGCTGAAAACTCTTTTATAGGCCGCAGTTATCAATATTCCTACTCTTTCCCCCTAGAGAGTAAATTAGAAATCGAATCCAACTCACTTCTAGATTATCTCTAGGCCTGAAAGTAGGCATTTTTCTGAGCTAGATTTGGATTATTTTTTTATCTTGTAGATATATAATATTAAATAAGATTACTTTTTTTCTTTTCTTTTCTTTTGTTGGGAAGGGGGTGCGGGTGGCGGGGGAAGCGTTAATATACAATATTCTAAGCAGAGCCCAGCAAACCAATAGATAAAGTCCTTAGCAACGACACCCGCCATTGGGTTACGATAACACGTCACACAGTGAAGCCCCCTAGGCCTGATCTGCGTGTGTCGGCACAAACGACAAGCATGGCGTACACGGGATTTATCCTGCCCCAAGAATTGTCAGTTGCTTTGTTCCTAAAGAAATAACGTTATCTGGTCTGGACCAGCAGAAAGACATGGCACTGTCCACATCCATCACATTGCATTATATAATGAAGCTATATCGCATTGCTACAGTGGAGGTGAAGAATGAGGTAACAAGGAAACAGATCATTTCTTAAAGAAACATCTGTAGGAAACAAGGGTCAACACAGTCAATGTCAATGTTATCAGCTCGAAGTAGTAGTGAGTAAGTTGGGTGTAACGCCGCTTTGAACAGTATTCCAGTTAAGTCTCGGCGGGGCAGCTTAATGTGGGAGGAAAGCCCGAAGGGATTCAGGTCTCAAACGTTTACTACATAGCAGCTTGATGCAAGAGGTTTGCAACGTTATCGATTTGGTTTGGATGATATATAAATATAAGGAATATGTAACCCAAAGCGACAAAACCTTTCCAAGAAATCTCTGCTAAAGGGCAATTGTGTGATGACCATGGGTTCTCGCAAAAGGGAGCACATCCTGCCCCAGCGGTTGCACCCGTCACAAATACATACAGAGGAAAATCAGTTGTTTACTTGACAAAACACGGGGACATATTCTACAAGTCAAAATAGGGAATTGCATCAGATAGCACACCGCCTCACAACGATAAATATATATCTTTAAAATACTGTAAGAAAATACACATCATGTCAAGTGTTCACATGCCAGCGTTTTCTCTATCAAACGGATACGTTTAGTCATTTGATTTCATTTATGTGAACAAGAAAGACAACATAAGGAAGCAGTGTGTCCAAATAATTATTGATCAATGATAACTTTACAGGGAAGCTGCAAAGAAGATTGACCAGAAAGTTCAGAGAGGACTTTTCTTATTTGCTGTGTCAAATGCGTGTATGGACCCGTTAGTGTATGGTAAGAGTTTCTACTTTAAACCCTTTGTCGGAGGGAGTATAAAAAAGGACCACCAAATATTAATGACACGTACAACAGCTGCAGATAACGTATTCCACGACCATCACGCAAGTACAACTCAGATAATAGAGTTTTGTTTGTTGTTTAACGCCGCATTCAGCAATATTCCAGCTATATGACGGCGGCCTGAATATAATCGAGTCTGAACCAGACAATCCGGAGATTGACATCATGAGCATCGATCTACGCAATTGGGACAAGATGACATGCATCAACCAAGTCAGTGAGCCGGACCACCCGATCCCGTTAGTCGCCTCATACGACAAGCATGGTCGTCTGTTACGGCAATCATTGGTTGCTGAAGACATATTCCCTACCCGGATCTTCACGGGTCTAGAAAATACAGACGAGAAAAAGTTTGGGTATATTTCCCAAATATTTTCCACAAATGAATCATTTGCAAATGTCTAAAAGTAGGGATATATTTTAAGTTGAGAAGGTAGGGTGTGTTTTACGTCTGTTGAAAGTAGGGTTACTTAGAAAACATAGTGGTAGCAGTTGGCTTGTTAATAAGATCACTTCTACCCTGCGTGGGTCGACAATTCTTTTTCACGAACCGAATGCTACACTGCTGTTCTCCTTCACGTATGCCTTGTTTTCTTATGGGTGCTAATATAAAGACATTCTTGTCTTTTCTAGGAATGTTTACGACAACATTCCGGAGGGAGGCGAAACGCTGGAGCGACTGCTTCAAATGGCGACTCGGTATGATTGGCCTGTCCTCCACCCAACAGCAAGAACAACCCAACAGACCCAGGGATAACTATGTGTGAGATGTATGGTCAGCGCAACAACCAGAGCGCCAAGGACCCAGGGATAACCTGTGTTTTCACCAAAAGCTACTCAGATCTCGACAAAACTATAAGTTGTCATTCTGTTTTCATTCCTTTCAAGCATAGTAACTATATACACCTCAACAGAAAGAGCTATGCAGGCCTTGGTCGAGGTACAGCATCTATATACACCTCAACAGAAAGAGCTACATGGGCCTTGGTCGTGGAATATCATCTATCTGCACCTCTCAACAGAAAGCGCTACATTGGCCTTGGTCGAGGTATTGCATCTATATACACCTCTCAGCAGAAGGAGCTACACAGGCCTTGGTCGAGATATAGCATCTATATCTATATACACCTCTCAACAGGCCTTGGTCGAGGCATAGTAACTATGTCCACCTCAACAGAGAGAGCTACACGGGCCTTGGTCGAGGCATAACATCTATGTACACCTCAACAGAAAGACCTACACGGGCCTTGGTCGAGGAATAGCATCTATGTAAATCTCAACAGAAAGAGCTACACGGGCCTTGGTCAAGGTATAGCATCTATGTACACTCCAACAGAAAGACCTACACGGGCCTTGGTCGAGGAATAGCATCTATGTAAATCACAAAAGAAAGTGCTACACGGGCCTTGGTCAAGGTATAGCATCGATGTACACAACAGAAAGACCTACACGGGCCTTGGTCGAGGAATAACATCTATATACACCTCAACAGAAAGAGCTGCACAGGCCTTGGTCGAGGAATGTCATCTATGTACACCTCAACAGAAAGAGCTACACTGGCCTTGATCAAGGTATAGCATCGATGTACACAACAGAAAGAGCTACACGGGCCTTGGTTGAGGTATAGCATCTATATACACCTCAACAGTCGCGTCTTCATTTGTGTAATCGGCGAATAAAGTGTATGGTCATTGTTCATCCAGGTCTATGTACTGCGTACCTGATGATGACACGGCCCCATATATAATTATAAAACGGTGAAAGAATTGGTTGTCTGGAGATACGGATGTGGAGTGCCCTGTGTGTCTCTTTATGGGCTTTGAATTAAACATACTGTGTTTGATTGTCAAATAAATGGTCTTTCCAAACAGGTTTCTTTTATGGTTAGTCATTGCCTTTCCTGTGGGGTGATCTGGGAAATTATCCTTCGCAAAACCATTAGCGAAAACACTTCAATCTACAAAACATATCCAATATAACAAGGACGGTTGGTTGCGTAATGCTTTTATATGAAGCCACATTCAATATCTGGCCTTGTGCATACACTGTGTCGATAAGCCATCCACAAACATTGATCAAGCACCGATAGATGTGTATATCAGAGCGCCGTGTGACATATGCCGAGGGCGGGGCTGCAACGTTAGAGTTCATTGTTCATGCTTATTAGAGCTGGGCATGTGATAGATGAATGCCTCTTCTTCAATGCGTTCCGATGACATAACAACTTTTGACGGTTCTATAATATATAATGGCACGGCCGCGACTAAGTAAATATTAGCAAAGGAGCTATTAGAGGAGTTTTTAATATCGTTGTTTGTACCTATATGCACTGAGTGATAGAGCACTGAAATCGTTACTCAAGGTCCTCCAGGGCGTATTTCAGACATGGACTACATACAGATAACCAGAATACCGATAATCTAGAAGATTTATCAGTGGGTGGAGACAATGTTGAACCTTATGTCACCGATATTGATTAATGCGTATTAGCTTTTACAGTTTAATTGATAAAAAGGCAAAAAAATGGAAGGCTGTAATGTTTCACCCAGTAAGTGATAAAATGATTTTGTATAAAACCTTATTGACACAGACAAGCTGAAATTGATTTGTGTGCTTAGTAGTATTGTGTGTAATGCCCATCTAGACTTCAGATATACGAAAGCTACAAAGAATATATAAATGCTTCTTCGGATTTATCCCAGAAAGGACGGAGGATATAAATATTTATAAGAAACCCTTAACCCTGTGTGGCGTGGTTCGGTGCTAAAAGTATCTTTCACTGATTCGATCATTGTCATGTTATAGCTGGAATATTGGCGACTGCGGCGGTACATAGCATTCATTCGCTCGCTACAACAGACTCATTTTGTAATATTTTTATGTCTTAGATATGAAGTGACAGGCATCCCCAGGCATAATGGGTGATCCACGCCACCCACTGGAACAAAAACATTTCCGCTTGGCAAATGTTAAAATCTCATTAACTGAAATACCAATAAGTGTAGATTATTTTGACATGTATCTTTGGCAAGGAATTTGAGGTAATCAAGTGAAGAATTCCATGGTCAGAAACGAGTAAGTGAGATTCGGATGAGTAAATAATTAATTCGCTTTGGTCTGAATGTCAAATGCAAAACTTTGAGAAATTGCCAGTGCCAACATTCATAAATCAAGAAATATTGCAGACTGAATTACACGTGGGTTTGAAGTGAAGGCCAATAACGCCTGATATTCCGTGAGCTCATCATTCAGTCAACACAAGCCCGTAGGGAAACCAGGTTAGAATATATCCCCAGGAACCAAGAGGCGACGAAATGGATCAGTGGTTTAGTTGAATGTGTGTTATTGTCCTTCGGCAACGTTGGATGTTGCTCATAATATCCACCACTGGGTTGTCTGTTTACGACGCGATTATTAACAGGCGGGGTACTATAACAGGAGAATTGCTAGCAGCTGTGTTAAATACGAAAGTCTCCACTGACAAGGACATTCCGAAACCGAGAAGAGGAATATAATAGGCATGCACAATACCGGGAGGTTGTGTACATCAGTTGCCAGACAGATGGTTTTGCGTCACTATATAATCACTCTGCTGGTTCGAAAACATCAACGCTCAATAAAGCCCGCCAACTGGAAGACCAAAAGTAACGTCCCAGAGGGAGGTGTTGAACACTAATAATACTTAAGAGACGTGCTTTATTTCCCACATAACAGTCTTGAGGCGCCGGATGAATACACACTGACGTGGAGCAACAGTGTCAATTAGGAATCGACTGAAGGCAGCTTGATTGTGCGGTCGTATACCAGTTAAGAACCAATTGTTAATTTGAGGACCTTGTCATGACCCCCTGGTTTCGTATGGGAGAGTGCAGAGAGCTGCTGCAAGCTGTCTGGGAAAATATGCGTGTACTGGGGCATGAAACAAGCCTCAAACAAGAATCACTCTTGAGACCGTTCCGTTTGGTGGCGATCTATCTTTCTATGTATCCTATGACTGTACAATGGATGTCTTCATCACACTTGGCGGCCAAAGGGTTGTTGTTGTAACCAATGTTAGGACAAATCACCCATTGCACCTGTAGCTAAAGACTTAAGTGACGCCTGCCTCTTGGTTTTTCACAGTCACAAGATTACGCTGGGCCGCCTCCGAGCCCTTACCATAACACTATGTCGGCATGGGTGGCCCAGTCGCCTGAGCGTCTCAATTCACTGTGCATAGTTGCTCCCCTTGGGCACGTCAGACACTTATGGTTTTCGGTTCGAATCCTTGTTCGCCCAGACAGTGTTTCTAGGTTTGGTTGCACCATACCCGTGCTCATGGGTTTCACCAAAGTGATAAACGTCTAAGACCTCCATCATTTTGGCCTTTCCTCCCACTTAAAGCTGACAAGTTGTTATATAACCGAATACTGTTCAAAGCGGCGTTAAACCAACTTACTCACTACAATAACTCTTTCGTGCATCTGGTGATTAAAGCCCGTGAATCAACTGGGTCCTTCCTGTTCAGTTTGTAGTCAAACTAGATGCAGCGCTGACACTAACACTAACACATTAACACACACAGTAGCACACACACACACACACACACACACACACACACACACACACACACACACACACACACGCGCGCGCACACACACATACACACACATACAGTAGCACTCTCTCTCACACACACACATACAGTAGCACTCACACACACACACACTCTCTCTCACTAACACACACACAGTAGCACACTCACACACACACACTCTCTCTCTCTCTCTCACACACACAGTAGCACTCACACACACACTCTCTCACACACTCACACACACACACAGTAGCGCACACACACACACTCACACACACACAGAGAGAGTAACACTCTCTCTCTCACACACACACACACACACACACAGATCAGGTGAATGAATTCTAGGTTTGTAAATATGATTTATACTAAATGTAGTTGTTTCTTGATATTTTGCGCAGCACTCAAACATCTATTACATCAAAGTTACATCAAAGTTTGATGCAACAATACTAACTTTATATTACTTTTGTTTAAAACGTATTTGGCAGATGCTACTGGAACAGAAATGAAAATTCGATTATGATAAAAAATAGTATAAACGTATATATATTGTTTATGTAATACAATTGTCAGAAATCTGTTTCATGTGTGTGTGTATGTATGTATGTATATATTGTTGTCTTATGATACTTTAATTAAGCTTAATCTGTGTCAATACTGCGTATAACAATGATGCGTATACTGGTTGAGATTTGTTGTCCCAGTTATTTCCACAAGGAAGAGGTATTCCTCTGAACTCTATCGCCAGTGCAAATTGATCACATGCTATATTTGTGCTTCGTTGAGAAATCCGACGCTAAATCAATCGGGAATGCCTTGCTTCTCTCGACGTCTTGCCATATGGCTGTACTAACTCAATGAACCAATGACCACTGCCCAAAGCTCTTGTTCAATATCTCTGGCAAAATCATTATTCAATATCCCTGGCAAGTGGTTAGTTTAGTCGGAAACACGACAATTACTTAAACTTACATGTAGCCATGTGTAGGCACTGCCTCAGTCGGCAACACAGATCAGCGTGCTTGAGAACTAACTTCATGTGTGTATGGTAGGACTCCAGATAACATACAGGCGCACACCAAAGCTTGTGTACCACAGGAGTGGGGCCCAAATGGGGAACTGCATCGGACATTTGGTCAAATTTGTCTACCTGTCTACCATGAAACCTTTTGAGAGCCCTAATAAGGCCTTTAATTTTGTATTCCGACACAAACACTTACAGAGCAAGTCGGGAACCTGAACAAACTCGGGAACATATGGTACGTCTTGCTTAAATGTGTATCCCCAAATTCCACATGACGTTGTTCGTGAAGAGGCCCAGCGGTTCCACATGCCCTATCTAGGAAGATTTTAAGAGCCTTGTGTGACCAGGGATACAACAAGTAAGGCCTTAGTAAGGCTTTCAAAATGTTTTATGGTAGACAGTGGGAAGACATTTCCCAAAATGACGCATCAATATTATGTCCGATGCAATATTCTATTTTGACTTTATGTCTATTCTGTTTTACTTTATGTTCCTGTGGGGTTTTTTTCAGATGAAAAATTGACTAGCCTTTGCATGGCATTGCGTTTGTTTTGTTTGTTTGTTGTTTTACGCCGCACTCAGCAATATTCCAGCTATATGGCGGTCATTGCGTTTGTGACGGGTGCCTCCGGTGGGTCAGAATACTATCACCTTTTCACGAGTACCTTGTATCATCACCTAAAAAGTGATAATTCATAAACGGTACTACGGACTCGGCTTGTAGAGTGAGGGAGTGAGTTGGGTTTAACGCCGCTTTTAACAGTATTCCAGTTATATCACGGCGTGTCAGCTTAATGTGGGAGGAAAGCCCCAAGTGATGCAGGTCTCAGACGTTTACCACTTCGGTGAACCTCACGAGCACGGGTATGGTGCTGACAAACCTAGAAACATAATCGGGGCGACCGGGATTCGAACCTACAATCATAGGTTTCTGGCGTGCCCAAGGGACGCAACTCTGCACAGCGAATCGCGGCGCCTTAGACGACTGGGCCACCCGTGCCCCCCTCGGCTTTTAGAAGATATTTTTCTACCGGTAAGACAGGATGAGTTTTACCCTTTTCGCAAACATATGGTGTCAACACTGACTTGTTTTCAGTGATCCATTCATATAATTCCCATCGCTATTTTGCGTTTTATGCCCAATGTAATCTGTTTCGGCGGATAATCAAGACTTGTATTCCCTGGCGTTGACGTTGTATATTGTGACCATGGAAACTGTTTTGTCGCTTCTATCCATTTTGCTAACACGAATGGCTGGTTTTATAAATTTATAAATGAGAATTAAAAGGTACTTTTGAAGAAAACATTCACACCGAGCGAAAAGTCTTGAATAGGTCCAGGCTTCAAATCCCATTTAACAAAGTGTTTAACCAATCAGCTTGCAGCATTCATTCCCATTCGTTGTACAAGGAACAATGGAGCACTTGAGATGATTTACATGTTGACGTTCAGTCAAATAGAGGGCCGGTCGGGTAGCCTAGTGGTTAAAGCGTTCGCTCGTCACGCCGAAGTCCCGGGTTCGATTCCCGACATTCCCGACAATGTGTGAAGCCCATTTCTGGTGTCCCCCGCCGTGATTTTGCTGGAATATTGCTAAAAGCGGCGTAAAACCATACTCACTCACTCACTCAGTCAAATAGAATTACATGGTCCACGTTCATAACAATCTCGACTGATCTGTTAAGCAGTTTACCAAGTGTATTAATCCTTTAGTCCAGGGGAGTAGCAATCGGCCATCAAGCCCCAGGGGTCTTCTTTGCTTCTGCTGAAAGGCCGACTGTTGCTTAACCAATAGTAGATCTATTAAATTTACATTTGACCTTGTCATAAGGGGTTGGAGAAGCGTACAATTTAAAATGACAGCTCATTTAGTAATACAGTCCTGAATCATAGTTCAACTGACCACAGAGGGGTAAGGTGAAGCTGACATAAATAGTTATGAATGTTGTATGTAATGTTCCAGATACGGAACTAAATTTGCATGGTAATGTTTCAGTAAAGTTACAGAATGTCACTTGGTGATATTCAAGCTTGTCCTGCTGTGTTGCTTGGTGGCCATTTGAACCGATGTGAATAAGCAGGTGTAGTGTCCAAGCATTCAACATTTCACCTGTGGATATTTGAAAGATTTTGCTGAACCTAAAATATCACCGGTTTTGGGGGGGGGGGGGGGGGGGGGGGGGGGTTCTTCTTTTGTTTGGTGTTGAACGCCGCACTCAGCAATATATATGACGGCGGTCTTTAATTAATTGAGTCTGGACCAGACAATCCAATGATTGATATCATGAGCATCAATCCACACGATTGGGATACGATGACATGCATCAACCAAGTCAGCGAGCCTGACCACCCGATCCCGTTAGTCGCCTCTTACGATAAGCATAGTCGCCATTTACAGTAATCATGGGTTGCTGAAGACCTATTCTACCCCGGATCTTCACGGATCTAAAACTCCCCGTAAAGTGCATCAAGTTCGAGTAAAACCAGAGCTTAAATAGGATCGCAGTCTTTGCACGTATCTATGTACGTCGATATGCATTATCAACAACAGCAAAATAATAGCAGCTGGTCGGTTGAGTATTTCGAAACTATCCTTCGCTTTTATGATTCACAGAATATAACATTCAATAACACAATTTTTTTTAAAAACATGATACATATATTATCCATCACGGAATACATTAACGCCGTCTCTTTGACGTTTCATTAGAAAGCTTTGGTAAGGTAGACACAAACCAAGTGATCTTTCATCTGCAAGGACTTCTGTTGCCGTGTTGGTTATTCCACCTCGCCTATCAAATCATGTCTTGTAATGATCGCATATAATAGCTCTTCAAATCTGTCCTGCTTCAGGTTATCTTGAAAGTACGTTGTCCACCAAGAAGCGCAACATGAGAATAAAGTGAAAAACATTTTAATTGGTGTTTTCTTTTATTGTTATTATGTGAACACACAAAAACGATAAGGCGACTCTACCACATACCATCAACAACGTTAACGTGCGAGCGTCTTTACCACATACCGTCTACAACGTTAACGTGCGGACGACACTACCAAATACCGTCAACGACGTTAACGTGCGGGCGACTCTACCACATACCGTCTACAACCTTAACGTGCGGACGACCCTACCAAATACCGTCAACGACGTTAACGTGCGGGCGACTCTACCACATACCGTCTACAACGTTAACGTGCGGGCAACTCTACCAAATACCGTCAACGACGTTAACGTGCGGGCGACTCTACCAAATACCGTCTACAACGTTAACGTGCGAGCGACTCTACCAAATACCGTCAACGACGTTAACGTGCGGGCGACTCTACCAAATACCGTCAACGACGTTAACGTGCGAGCGACTCTACCAAATACCATCAACGACGTTAACGTGCGAGTGACTCTACCGAATACCATCAACATTTCTCCTTGTCATACACTCACACCAGTACTTCTCCCTTGCCATGCACTCACACCAGTACTTTACCCTTGTCATACACTCACGCCAATACTTACTCCTTGTCATACACTCACGCCAATACTTACTCCTTGTCATACACTCACGCCAATATGTTCTCCTTGTCATACACCCATGCCAATACTTTCCCCTTGTCATACACAGACACCAGGACTTTCCCCTTGTCATACACTGACACCAGGACTTTCCCCTTGTCATACACTGACACCAGGACTTTCCCCTTGTCATACACTCACGCCAAAACTTACTCCTTGTCATACACTTACGCCAATATTTTCTCCTTGTTATACACTCATGCCAATACTTTCCCCTTTTCATACACAGACGTCGCTGTTAGATATGTTCGAAACTATTTACTTCTTACAGCTACTCTTGTTCCACACAAACACCTTCACATGCATCTTGTTCGGATGATATCTCCGCACCTGTTTGGCTGTCCTGTTAGGCCCTAATCGTGTTAGAAACGTTACCGTGACAGGAGATAACGGTGCTTGATGGAGAGACAAGGACGACTCTGTCATTTGTTGCAGTCAGCGATAGCAATCTCGAAATGCCTAATCTTAGCAGTATGCTTTCAGTATCGAAGCATACGAAGGGAGTGCTGTAATTGCTGGCTTGGAAGGAAGTCGAGATAATTGTTGTATTTGTAAGATTTTGGCGTTGAACGTGTTCTGGGTCTATGACCTGCAGCTAGTCTCTATGATAATGCTTATGAGGGTAATCTCTTAGAAAAACAAGCCTTTGCATATTCTTCTGGGCCCTTGACCTGTTTTTGTTTGGGGAAGGTTTATCGTCAGTGTCAGTGTTTGAACTGGTGATGGATTCCGCGGGAACGTCCCGTTTTTCAGAAGTCGGTCGGCCTTTAAGAACTGGCGCACAACGCAACTTCTCTGGGCGAATGAGAACAAATTTTTTGTCAATGGGTGGAGCTATCCCTGTGTCTTTGTCTTGAGATTCCACATGTTTAACGTTTGATGGTAATTGGTTTACACTGTAATTAGAGTATCTCGCACGGGCATCAAGAGCAGGGTGGATTTTTAAAGGCGGCAAAACAACTTCATCATGTCGTTTTGCCTTTGAATTTTTTATGGCATTTAAGGATGCAATTGAGGGTTGGGGTTCTTGCTTGTAGCTAAAATGTTCCTCTGTTATCTCACCAGCACCGAAGCCCTCTCCTTCTGGAATGACGCCCAGATCGGGACTCTGTAGTTGCATTCGTTTCGCCCGCCGAGGTCGATATCTGGCGATGCGTCTTGTGTGTCTTTTCACACTTGAAGACAAAATTGTCTCCACTTTCTTGCGGTCGGTAACGTTGTCGACTTTAGGTGACTGTGGCAGAGATGGGCCGACTAATGGAGCGCTGCCGCCCAAATGAGCGGAAATCTGATTAGTGTCTTCACCTAAAGACGATTTCTCGCATTCGCTGGGTCTTCCTGAATTATCTGGTGTATATATTCTGTCTGTTGAAATCCCCTGTGGCACCCTTGCTAATGATTTGTCATTTTCCCACAGTGATCCCTTACAGGTTAGACTGTAATCTATGATTTCATGTAAATCAGAGGCACTGACAAAGCTTATTCGAAGATTCCTAGGCGGCAGATGTTTCAGTCTTCGTTTGGGAAATGTTAGAGCTGATTTAGGCTTACCTCTTCTGTCGTGGAGCGACTTCTTTCGCCTGTCTATTAGATCAGTCAATGACACAGCCTTCCGACGACTACTGGAATGTTGGGGGTCGAAATTGGCGTGGTCATCACGAGGCGCCAGGTGATACTTACTCCCCTTTTTCTCCAGTGTCAACTTGTGCATGTGATCTGAATAGAGGAGCATGGAGTCCTTCACTGAACTATGTCGTACAGTTATACTGGGAAGATCGTAGTGTTTATGATCAGGACCTTTCCTCAGTTCCTTCTTCGCTTGTGTGGCGATCCTAGGGGACATCTCCTCCACAATATCACCGTAGGACGACATCGTTGTTTGAGTGACACAAGTCCTCTAAATGAAGCTATATTATCCTGAAAGAAAATGTGAAACTGGTTCAGTGTCCATTGGCATGAAAATATAAGCGTCAAAACTATTTCCACATTCATAAGAAATCCCTATTAAAAGCATAGTGAATTGTACGATTCCGACTATATGATAAACGTATGTTTATGAACAACTTTCAAGATTTAACACCAGGTATTCGTGAAAAAGGTGAGCGTATCCCTCCGTTGGCATCCGTCACAAACACATGCAAAGGCAAGTCAAATTTCCACCGGAAAAATGACGGGAGCATATTATACAAATTAATAATGGGAATTGCACCTGACATCATTTTTATCAATGAAGCGTCAAATTTGGAAATGTCCACATGTCTTCTATAAACCGTTTTGAAAGCTTTACAGAGCCTTGAATCTAATTGGTTAAGTAATTGTATTGACAGTGTTCCATTTTCCAGTTTTGTCAACATATTCATTCGGCTGAGATATCTTTGAGACGGAAATACAGGACAACTGCAAAAACCGAATTTGATGGATCTTTTATTGGCATGATGAAAATAGGAGTAACGTGCCTTTGACATTATGAAGCTTACGACCCTTTAATTAGTAGATGCCGAGATTGGATCTGAATTGTTATTGAATACCTTGCGCCATACACGCATAAAACTACATTGATCTATGACCGTTTAGCTCTCAATCTACATCAAATATATTTCCGCCGGGCCTTTGACAATAATGGCCGTCTATTTATATGTCTATCCAGTAAATCTTATATACACCAGGATCACTCTTCCCAGTAACGCTACTCTGTAATAATACCCACGATAATGGGAGGCAGCTCATCATTTCTACTTGTCCTCCTCGCCCTACGGTGCCAGGCTATAAGTGCATGTCTCTATACGGGCATATCAAGAGGCATTGTATCGCTATACCAGCACAGCTGATTCAGAACATAAACTAATCTACATCAGGATAATGCTTTCATTGTTCTATCTCCATCTTGTAATAGAACAAGGCGTTGTTGCAGTCATTTAAACCCTCTTCCAAATTGACAATGTAAATACTGCAGTTTGGTTAACATTTTTGTATTGTTTTTTAATTTGTATGAAAAAAAAAAATTTAATTGTATTTTATTTTTATTTTGTTTGGGGGGGATGTTTTTTGTTTTGTTTTGTTGGGTTGTCTTTTTTGGTTTGTCGATGTTTTGTTTTGTTTTGTTGTTGTTGTTTTGGTTTGGTTTGTTTTTGTGGGGTTTTGTGGGGGGTTTTTGTTGTTGTTTTCTTGTGGGTTTTTTTGGGTGTGTGTGCTGGAATCTGTTTGACAAAGACAGATTGTTCCAAATTACTGAAAAATTATTATTTGGCCTCAGGTTTCAAATACTGAAATCTAAATGTTCGCTAGGCATGCGGGATGTCCTGCAAATAAGTGTGCTGTGAGAAAGAAGAAAAGTTTGTCTCCAGACATCGTTAATGTTTCAAAACAACAGTTGAGAAAAAATCCTGTTTCTATTAAACCTCCAAGGCACCTAGCAGGATGTTCAGTGGTCGGACCCCAAGGATGTCTCTGTGCTAAGATGTGGTGGGTCCGCTAAAGTGAATGGCGTCATCGGCCATAACCATTCATCAGCTACAACTCCCTCTACTTGTACATTACCTATCTGACTTATCCGTCCTTTTCAAGGAGAGTCAGTGAGTTAGGAGATAAACATACTTTGTTTTCAATGTTGAGCTAGGTAACCTGTACATTTAATCGCGCTAAATTAAATTTGGAACCGAACGCGAACGTGAAATTTAGCGCGGTATAATCAACAGGTATACTCTCCATCGAAAACACAGTATGTTTTACTCCATTCTATCATGACTAAATAAAACGCGAACTCTTTGGTGCTAGCAAATATTTCGAGTGAAGCGGCATGGGTTGAGTCCAGAGTTCTTAGTGGGTTGTCACACATCCTTTGAATTTTGCAGTAACGGTAACTTTGCAATTTGTAACCTATAATTGTAGGTATAGTTATTTAAATACGCCTACCGACAATGATTGAAAAAAGTTCTATTCTATGAATATTAGCTTCCGCGGTGATGCGGCCGCCAAACAAGCTGTTTTAATCAGAGGGGGTATATTGTGATTTAATAGCCTCTGATTGACCAATCAGAATCGAGAAATTTCCAAATTCATGGTAGAATATTCTATAAATACTCACTAATTATTAACATTGTCCGACTTATCAGTTATAATGATCGTGCATATTCAGGCTGGGAATACACAGGTGAACATACACACTACAGACACTTCAGTCCACAACAGAGGACAAGGGAATTCAGTATTCTAAACTATACAGAGTTATGTCCCTTAGACGGTTATTGAGTGCTGGTGATGGATCTCACGATCTATACTGCTTTGGCCTTTTCTTTGAAACAGTGACCTGACGCGTCGTTATCTAACTAAAATCCTATTTACGTCCATAAACATTAGCTTGTTCAGCCACACTTAACTACATCAATCCAACTTCGACATCGATTGTACAAATGTAGTATCCTGTAAGTTGAACCAAAGAAGCATGAGATGTTCTGGGATGTTATCGGAACCACCTTTAGCTATATTTAAACATCCACCGTTACAAATCCCCAACAAAATCCTCCATTGCACATGATCTTTTAACATTAGACATCGCGATTTGCCACTGCACATGGTCACATGCATATAACATTGACATGTATATCGACCATTATACGTCACGACATACAATTATATACTTACTATCGACCAGTATGTTTTTTATATAAATGTAATTAAATATTGAAAGATATGTCTATTTAATCCTCACTCATTCCCGTAACAGTTTGTGAAAGGGTGCGGTATTCGACGTAATAAGCGCCCATGGCGCTATCAAAATTAGAAATAGGGGGCTCTTATTGGAATATAATTTTGGTGGAAGAGTTGAGAGATCGTAAATTTCGTGGTTTATGCTGACAGCCTGAAATGATACAAAAGAAAAGTCTGTGCGTATTATACACGACAGATATATTTTTCCAGAATTTAATTGCCCGTAATTAAGGGTGCATATAACACACGAGTGCATATTATACACGAATAAGTAAGTCCTGTATACACTGGTCAATCGGGAGGGTGCTAATTGGGTTTGTTCACTAGCCAATATATTAGCAAATATCGCCGTGGGCGAATACGGTAATTGTGTGTAAAAATACATTGGTTCAATGAAGACTGGGATGAAAAATGAATTTGCAACCACGTGACCCCAACCATGTTTGAAATGTTGTACATTTGTGCAAAAAAGCAAATGTATTGATTTTCAAAGATAAGATTATACGATACCCTCCAGCAGTTGCAATGTCTTTGGTTTACTTTTAAGAGTTTGGATTTAAATTAAGTTTTTAATAATATCGCTATTTTTAACTGAAATCACACATTTGAAAATATCAACTAAAAGACATTTTATATAAACTGTTGTTACAGTTTATCCACTATATACCGTCTTACATATCTATCTAACATGACACATCGCTATATATATCAGTATATACACACTATCTACCATTACACATCACTATATACCAGTATAGACCACTATCTATCATTACACATCACTATATACCAGTATAGGCCAATAGCTGTCATTACACATCACTATATACCAGTATAGACCACTATCTATCATTACACATCAATATATACCAGTTTTTACCACTATCTATCATTACACATCTCTATATACCAGAATATACACAATATCTACCATTACATATCAATCTATACCAATAGAGACCACTATCTATGACTACACATCCCTATATACTAGTATATACACCATCTACAATACACATCAATATAACCTAGTAGAGCCCACTATCTACCATTACACATCACTATATACCAGTGTATACAACTTATCTACCATTACAGATCCCTATATTCTAGCACATCACATTATACCAGTATATACACCATACCTAGCATTACACATCACTATATACCAGTATATACACACTATCTAGCATTACACATCACTATATACCAGTATATACACACTATCTACCATTACACATCACTATATACCAGTATATACACCATACCTAGCATTACACATCACTATATACCAGTATATACAACTTATCTACCATTACAGATCCCTATATTCTAGCACATCACATTATACCAGTATATACACCATACCTAGCATTACACATCACTATATACCAGTATAAACACAATATCTAGCATTACACATCACTATATACCAGTATATACACACTATCTACCATTACACATCACATTATACGAGTATATACACCATACCTAGCATTACACATAAATATATACTAGTATATACACACTATCTACTATGACACATCACTATATATACTAGTTTATACACCCTATCTACCATTACACATCACTAAATGCTAGTATATACACACAATCAACCATTACACATCACTATATACTAGTATATACACACTATCTACTATTACACATCTCTACATACTAGTATATACACACTATCTACTATGACACATCTCTATATACTAGTATATACACACTATCTACTATTACACATCTTTATATAATAGAATATACACACTATCTAGCATTACACATCACTATATACTAGTATATACACACTATCTACCATTATACATCACTATATACTGGTATATACACACAATCTACTATTACACATCTCTATATACTAGTATATACACCCTATCTACTATTACACATCTCTATATACTAGTAGATACACACTATTTAACATTACACATCACTATATACTAGTATATACACCCCATCTACCATTACACATCACTATATACTAATATATACACACTATGTACTATTACACATCTCTATAAACCAGTATATACACCCTATCTATTATTACACATCTATATATACAAGTAAATATACCCCATCTACTATTACTCATCACTATATACTAGTATATACACACTATCTATTATTACACATCACTATATACCAGTATATACACATCACTATATACTAGTATATACACC